CGACCCATGTTCCATGTGTAGTCTGCCATGTCTCTTGTGAATTTAAGTTCTGTCTCCGTGTTTATTCATCTGTTTCCCAGTCGTGTCTCTCACTTCCTCTGTTCCCTATGTTCACTCAGTCTGTGTCTTGTAGTGTGTCTCCTGTTTCCTGTTTTACTTGGACAGTCTCGTGTCCTGTGTTATTGTTTTTTGTTTTGCTTCCTACCTCTCTCATCGTGTTGGATCTGTTCCAGCTGTGTTTCCCTCCTGTTTCTCATCCTCTCATTACCTCCCTAGTTCTCTGTTCCAGTCTTAGTTTTCCAGTTTCTTAGGTTTAGTTCTTTGTTTCTAGTTTTTGCGTTTTTGGTTAATATTGTTGTTTTAATATTTTTGATACAGGAATAAAACTGCCTCCCTCATTTCACTCGTTTTTTGGGTCCTCATCCAGCCTGCCACACAGTGCATCCTTGACACTTGTATTACTACCATCAGGCATTTATTCATTTCATACCAGAATAAATGATTGTTGACACAGGAATATATGTTTGATTATTGTGTTATTAAAAAATTATAAAGTAAAGATGAAAGAAGACACTTTACCTGAATATCCTTCATTGACTTCACCTATATTTATAGTAGGAATCACCGCTTGACAATTTATGGTTGAAGTACCTTCAGAAACAAAACCGATGAGTTAGCACGGAGTGAACAGATTATCGATATTACATAAAAACACTATTTCTAACAGCTGATATGCAGATGTAACTGGGCATGTCCATTTTACTGAGATTTCTTTTCCCCTTTGTTTTGTTTACATTCTGATACCAGGCTTTTCTTCTATCTGTGGTTCCTTCTGTGCTAAAATGATTTGCCAATATTGTTATTTAACACTTTCTTCTCTCTGATAGTGTTAACTTCTTCTAATCTCTTACAAGGTACCATGCATTGTTTTAAAAGGCACCACCGGTGCTGCTGCAGTAATATTTCAGATATGGACAATGGTTGTATTTTCTTTGCCTGACACCCTCCTGATTTTCAGTTTGGTTTGGCTCCTTGGATTTACTCTGTCTTCCTTTTGATATGAACACTTTTGGTTGTAGTGATGGGATTTCCGGCTCTTTTTAGAGAAC